TGTTGGGGGAGGTACCAGAAGGAGTGGGTCGATATTGCCCACATCCGAACGCGATCTAAGTTTGACAAAAATATTACGATGTACCAAATTTGGACCAAATCGGATACTGCCTTCGAGAGTTATCGTGCGCACCGGACAGCCCGAAAGACAGACGGACGAAATGTCCTGAAACGGATTTGGTCTAAAACCGTCATTTCGACCAGGCACGTATCAAATGATATATGCCATCATATTTCAATGAAATTAAGTTTAAATTAAATTTCCACTGAATATTTAAAATCCGAAGTAGGTCCGTGAATTATTCAAAAAGCATGCCTTAGAAACATATATATGATTTATTTATTCTCAGAATATTTTATTGCTCATTTTCGTACTTTTTCTTGTCAGTTAAGGCTTAACAAAAAACGCACTACATCCTATTAAAAAATATTTAAAATATTTTTATAAAGCTCATAACAAAAAAAAAACAAATGATCAAATATGAAATTCATGATAAGATTAGTCCGCAGAGATAAAGTTGAGTTGAAATCAACATATCAAAATGTTTCTCAGTCGAATAGCAAAAAAAAAAAAACAAGATAAAAATAATACGTGTCAACGAAACATTTCAATTTTATTCATATTCCCTCCTCCCTGGTTAACAGAAGTTCAAGTGTTAATTGATATACAATTCATGTCTGAAATTAAATGTAAATATGATCACACACACACTCACACGCGTACAAATGCACGCAAAAAGAAAGTAAGAATTTGTTTTATTAAATAAATGAAATAATAACAAGAACATAAACACGCACAAACAGATTGGCGATCATGTTGTACACCGCCACCAGATACCAGATACATTCCAATTGGTGTCTTTAGCGAAAAAAAAAACCCAAAAACAACAACGTCAACTTTAGCAACGACAACACTAACTGAATGACTGACTGACTGCCAACGAATGATAATATGAATTTTAAACAGGTGTAGAATATATTATAACAATGAAGTAAAGTGTTCTCAGTGATCTGCTGGGGTGTTATTGTTGTTAATTTTGATATTTTGGGGAACAGCACTGTTCAAGAAACTAGCATTATTTTTTATTGAATGACAATTATCAGATACATTTCTAAGAAACCCAGTTAAAAAGTATCTCACGGTTCTGCCGACAGATGTATATCATCAGCCAATGCGCGATTATTTAAAACAAATATTTTGACCTCTGTTATGGTTATTCAAATTATTGACCGTCTTAGGAGTACAGGGTGAGATAAAAAAAACTGCAACAAAGTCAAACATTTTTTTAATTTTGTTGAATGAAAGCAAAAAGTGTCGGAAGCAACATTCCGGCACCACACGCTGCCGGAATGTTGCTCTGCGGTACTTTGACCCATTCCCGGCGAAGCGCTTGCTTAAGGTGATCGACACTTTGGTATTTTTAGTGCCAACTTTGCTTTCCCAAAAACTCCAGACACAATAGTCCAACGGATTCGTATCCGGAGATTTTGGTGGCCATTGTGGGCTGGATATGAAGCGAGGAACCTCATTTTATAACCACTCTTGGGTGGCGCGTGCTGAGTGCGATGATGCTGAGCCATGTTGGAATGTCCAAGGTCTGCGGCCTTAATACACCCTCCAGAATATTTTTGCGATAGTATTTGGCATTTATTCTGATACCACGGTCGATTAGTACGAGCGGAGAGCGACCTTGGCCGGTACTTTGTATAAAGTAAACACGATCATTTTGTTTGTTTACAAACTGCTGGACAACGAATGTTTTTCCATCGGAGAAAACCAAATTCGGCGGTTCACCACTAAGCGAAGCAACTCTTTAGCTTCTTTTAGTCTATCTTCTTTCTGTTGCGGTGTAAGTTCTTGTACTTTTTGGAATTTCAATGGCTTTACCCCGAGCTCATTTATCAATATTTTGCGAATGGAATATTGTGATATCTTCAGCTCACGAGCCATTACGACGCGGGTTTCGATCAAGTCGCTTCTTTACTTTACTATTTCTGCTGATTTTGCTGTTTCCTTCCGCCAACTTCCTTGACGTCAGGCTACGCTACCTACGCTAGTATCACGGTAACGAGCGATGGTATGAGACACAAAAGATTTAGTCACATTTAAATGCTCGACCCTTTACCAGGAGGTACCAGAAGGATTGGACTTAATTCGATCTAAGTTTGATATTAATATTACGAAGCACTGAGTTTGGACCGAATCGGATACTCCCTTCGAGAGTTGTGATGCGCACCAGCCAGACGGACAGACGGATGGACGGACATCGCTAGATCGACTCCAAATGTCCTGAAATGGATTTGGTCCAAAATGTACGTTAAAATTCTACTCTATTCGCGAATCCGTTAAGATATTGTTGGGTTAAATAATTGGATTACTTAAAAACCCCTCAAATATCAAGGTTCTTTCTTTATTTTTCTATGATAAGGGATTACAAACAGTATATTAATTTTCAATTTAAAGATCGGATGATTTCATTTCTACGTTCCTCCGTCCGAACATTCTACAAAGATCTGAAACAATATATTCAAGAAAACTAGGTTCATTAGAAGAATATTTCATGTTAATGCATGTTTTGTGCTTCATATAATTCTTGAAATTATGACAGAAAATCATGTTTTGATCTGCCAAAAGAAACTTTTCAAAATTTCGTGAAGATTGACCTATATTTACGCCCTCTGTCGTGCTAATAGGTCTTCAAAACAATATTTGACTATTTAGATTCGTGTATATATTTTCATATATCACCGATATTTCACTATACACGTCAATGATATCTGTGTCAAAGGGGAATTTGTCTGGAAGTAATTTTCTGTATTAAAAATATTCGCGGTTGAATTTTTACAAAATTGTAGGCTTCTGCCTTGTCCCAAACTCTAACCGACTAAACTATAATTTCTTGCGTGCAACCCGTAGTTTGATTACAAATTAACATGGTCCGACGTACCGATACACTCACAGCTAGGTCAATTCACCTCGGCGAAATAGGAAGATCGATACACTACATGGTGGGTCTAGGGCCAATATTTCGAGGTGTTACAAACTTTTTGGTCCTATCGAACTTATAAATCCCTCAACACATACTGTTGTAGTGTGTATTAATCGAAAAAGAAGTCCTGTAGGGAACGATCAAAGCTTTAAAACAAGTAGAAAATCAGCTAAGTTCATCTGGGCCTAACTTTTAATATCCTCACCATTTCAAAGGAAATTATAAAAATTTCAAAAAAAATCCGAAAACTACCACTTAAAAGAAAAATAAGGGGATTATACGAAGACGTGGACCTGCATACAAAATTTTTTGTGCCCATTACGAACTTCAAATACAAATTTTGTTACAATTACGGTTAATAATGTCGTTAAAATTATGAAAATACCGAATATCTGGAGGTACCGTTATATGGGAGCTATACGAAGATCTGAACCTGCATACAAAAATTGTTGACATAGGCTGTAGTACCCATTGGTATCTTCCAATACGAAATTTGAAACGATGTTGGTGAATAATTTTGCTGAAATCATCAAAATACCGAATATCGGGAGGTACCGTTTTATGGGAGCTATACGAAGACTTGGACCGACATGGCCCATTTACGAACTTAACCTGCCTACTGGTGAACTATGCATGTATGCAGAATTATAGCCTTCTACCGTGATGAAAACCGATGAAAACCGACAAACAGACGGATAGACGGACATCGCTAGATCGTCTTAGAATTTTACTTTGTAGGATCTGTTATGAATATTTCGAGGAGTTACAAACGGAATGATCAAGTTAATATACCCTCCATAAAATGGTGGAGGGTATAATACTATGCAAAATTTCACTATTAAAAGTCATAAAATACTTTTTGAAAATTACCTTTAAACATCCAAGACTGGCCCTTTAAAAGTATTCAAAATTTTTTCTCTAAATATTCACTAAAAAACTACTTGAAAATCCGCCATTAAAGCTCTTCGAATGCTCTTAACCTCAATTTTTTTAATAATTAATAATTTTCATAATCTTTTCAATTTATGATTTCTGATCCTAGAAAAATTGAATTATTAAAAATTCTTAAACAACAAACTTTTTCGAGTTTTGCCTTATTAAGGCGAAGATCATATGTTTTATGATTTATGTGTTTGATTTCTCTTTCGAGACGAGCTTAATGATCTGAAATTTGCAGTGAAAAGGAAAGCCAGATAGACACTATCACACACTCACCACTATGCGACGCGTTTCGCCGTTGGTTAAGCGGCTCATCAGGCATATTTGGTGTGGATGATGTCTTACAAGGGCCGTTCTCTGGAAAGTAGTATATATTTCGAACTTATTGCAAATTAGCATATGCGAATTATACACTAGAAACTCTCCAGGTTCGACTCAAGTTCTATTGGCAGATCTTTTTCACAGCAAAGTTTTTGTTTTTTGTAGTGATGGATTTTTTGTCCACTACAACTACATTGCTTCCAATGCATACACTTGTTTTAGTGCTACTTTAGGAAGACGGGTTAATGGCTCTGAACGTAGAGACGGCAACTTCTAGTTGGCTGCACACCGAGGTCCGCGGTTCAAATCCCACAGCCAGGCTCGGCTGAATTTTTGAGTTTTGCCTTATTAAGGCGAAGATCATATGTTTTATGATTTATGTGTTTGATTTCTCTTTCGAGACGAGCTTAATGATCTGAAATTTGCACCTAGAGCCCTTTTTACAGATTCCTTAAACTTTTTGATGTTCCTATTCGCGTAATATCAGGCTATTTTAAAAAGTAAAGGAATTTATTAAAACTTTCACTTTTAAATACATATTTTTATAAATGACATCATGATTAAACGCAAAAATATGCCTTGTTGTTGTTATCTTGAAATATGCTTATCATTTTTGCTATGTTTTCTTTTACATATACCTCGCTCCCACCTTACCACCTTAGAGTTTTGAAAGATAAAAAATTAAGTTAAATTTTCATGACAAGTTTGTGGAGCGACATAATCACTCGTAATTTTGTTTGTTTTCTTGCAGATTGCTTCAATCAACAAGCAGTAGCAATACAAATGTTAAATCTTCAATAGCATCTACTGGAATCGGAACTAGTGCCCGCGTTCAGCAGCAGCATTCACCCACAAAATATAAGAAAGATAAAACGACTAGTCCAGCCCATTTTGCACCCAAAGTACCTTTGGTATCGCCCATTACCAACAGATCTGCCGCGAAGTCCCTAAAATCACCAGCAGCAGCAGCTGCAACTGTGGCAACCATAAAACCCTCACCAAATAAAACAAATCTACCCCAGACAACACCATCCATACTGAAGGCCACATATGAATTGGAATCCTCTGCGGCCTTGGAAGAACTCCTAAAGAAACGCGAAGAAGATTTACGCAAACGTCGTCAACATGTGGAACATTTAATGAAATGGCATCAACGACTCGACGAGGAAGAAGCTGAAGTTCTACAATTGGAACGTCAACTGTTAAGCTATAATAATGTGCAACAGCATTTCGAAAAGACACCTCAAAGCGACGGCCACAGAAACCAAAAGAAATCCCTGCAACAAATGCCACCATTGGAAGCTTCTTCAGTTGTTGATGAAGAAGAAGAGTTGACCCGAGAGGTTAATTTGGATGATACAAGTCATCATCATATTTATCAGAATCTAGCCAAGGAAACGGAAAAGAAACGCGCCTCTAGAGCGCGTAAAATGGAAAAACGTCTCAAGGACATTGATAAAAGTCTAAAAGAATTATCTCACATATCGGCCACAAACACAACCAACACCACCACAACGACGGCAAGCAATTCCTCGGCCTTTGTAATGGGACATAACAATGACGACATTGAAGTGTCATCAGCCAGCCAACAAGAATTGGATTTTGTGCGCACCACTGGCTCCAAGTTGAATAAGTTATGGCGTCGCCTTACCTCCCAAACGGTGGAGAAATTCGAACCTACGCGACGTTATAAGCTTTGTAAGGCCGATCTTGAACGGCTTTATGAAGAAGCCAAAATGGCTGTGCTCAAAGATTTTGCTGCCGATGAGGAGCGGATAGCCCAAGAATTGTTGGAGAAAAGTTCGGTAACAACAACAGCAAACACCACAGCCATTGAAAGTCCAACAGCACAATCACCGCAGGGACATGTCCTAAATAAAAGCAATTTTGTGGAAGTTCCAGTGTTGAATTTAAATTTCAGTTCCGGTCACTCAGAAGCTGATGAAGATTCTGCTACAAAATTGGCAAAGGTGGCTGCCGTACCGGCGGCGGCAAATCAAGGCATTTACAGTCCCAGTGTTGCGGAGGAGAATTTCAAGGCTCAATTGTTAAATTCTAGTGCCTCATCGTCATCAGCTGGGGAGCAACCGGAAGACATCCTACAAAAGGAACAGGCTGAACAGGCGTTGGAATTGGAAAGGCAACAACAGCAGGAGAAACAAAAACGTATTGAGAATAATGTACAAATATTCTTAGCCCTGACCCAACGTCTGCATTTGGGATCCTCTGTAAATCGTCACCAACCAGCAACAACAGTTCATCAGCAACCACCGGGACTGCAGCGTAGTCTCAGTGATACGGAAATTGCCGATATACCAAAGTTTTCTGCAGCTACAACAACTAGTCATAGAAATGTATCAGCGAACACTAGTCAAAATAAAGCAAACACAGCAACAACAACAACGGCGACAATTCAAAATGTGCATCAAAAGTCCAAATCATGCATTGCAGAAGTTACAAATTACATTCCTTATGAAACAAACAGACATTGTGAAAAGTCAGCAACGGCGACAACAGCTTCTTCCACAATTAAAGAACCAACTAGTCGGCCCACAGTTATTGCCACCGTTGGGAGAGTTCCACCCATAAACCCGTCTCAGACATCACAGACACCGCAAAAGCTCTCCTTCTCGGGGCAATTTGAATATGATTCGGAAGCTAAAGCCAAAGAAATCTCCTCAAAATTAGATGAAATATCAGCTGCCGTTAATCTACTATCTCAAGCTAATGCCCTACCCTCATATCCTGCAGCGATACAATCGAAAAATTCCTCTGCGGCTCAAGAGGGCGAACAAACAAGCATTACGGAAGAAGCGAATCTAAGTACGAACGAAAATTCTTCGTATTCTTTGAATTTTGCCAACATTTCCATAGATAGGCATTCCTCACCTGGTTCACAACAACTGCAATCTCACAACACAACCCAAAACCAAAGTAGCAAAACACCCATCTCACCAACCAATAATAGCTCTGAATCATCATCGTCTCAAGTAAATACTTTTGTCGTTTCGCCCAATGGCGGCTCATCTTCGAAAACCTTTACCAAAGACAACAGCACAACTTCAAACTGTAGAACTTTTACAAAAGAACAAACCCCAACCACCACCCCGCCAGGTTTATCGAAAACCGTAACTGTGGCAAGTCCAGCGAATTTGGATAAAACCATTAGTGAAGATTACGAACCTGATTTCGAACCAGATACAACGGATGAAACTCATATTGATGATATATCATTGCCGTTGTATGAAACGACGGTGAGTGAAGATGCCACCACAACGATAGAAGAGGGTGATAGTGAAGTGGCTGAAATATCCCGAGGGAATGGGAGTTTATCGAATAAAACTTATTGTGCTGAAACAAAACAAGATCAGTTGCCGGTTAAAACGCCCACCATAACCATAACTAGTACTAGTCCCGAAAAGGAGCTATTACCACCACCACCTCCATTACCGCCACCACCACCAGCCCTCACAGCAACTGCTAGTTCGTCTTCTGTCATTAGTTTAGCAACAACTACAAGTGGTGCCTCTGGCGCCCAAATCAATGCAACATCGAATGGCAATGCTTTAATGCCGGATATTATAAATGAATTGGAATTGAGACGACATCCATTGATAATAGATAATGAGGTAAGAGATCCAAAAATGTTGTAAAACTAATGCTCTGTTCTCGAACCTGCACGAATCTATTATTTCGATATCAGTTATCGCAGGAACCATTTTTATATTATTGCAGTTCTGGAACAGACCATAACTTCGTAAATCGGATAGTTCTTGGACAATTTTTTAACAGTCTACCTTAAAAAATAGAAACAATTCATTGTAATAGCTTAAATGGTCCTTAGATAAGATACAATTTAAATTTAATAATAGCTCACACGATCCTTTCACAAATATCAATTTTAATTCCACATTTATTGCTCATACGGTCCATGAACAAGTCAGATAGTCCTTGAATGTTCTTTAAAATTTTAGAAGTTTCTTAAAAAGTATAATTTAAAAAATCTTTATCCTTTGCTTTTCTTAAAAAATATTTTTGTATAAAAAAATTTGTTTGTGTCTCAATCAATCCATTAAATATATTCATTATTGTATGAGATTATGAAACTAATATCTATTGTCTTATCCTTCAGCATTTAAAACAATTGGAACATGTGGCCGCCTTACCTTACATGTATGTAAGGGAAATTCCCAATAAACCGCCACCACCCTATGTACCGCCAGCGCATGGTAGTCCCATGACCACCATATTCCCCTCGGAAGAACGTATTAAGGATATAACTTTTAGAAGAACGCATGAACTCTATTGTGAACTCTTAAAGACTGGTAAATACTCTCGAAACCCATCTCAAATATATGAGCTAATTTTGTTTTTTTTTTTTTATTGCCTTCTCTTTTGCAGAATATTGCAACGAAAAAGGTGAAAAACTACCCTCAGTTATGGAGGAACAAATCACCAATATCTATGAACGAATTATCCTAGATATTTGCCGTGAATATCTAGAAGAGCATAGCGAAATTTTACGTGAAGGTGATCCGACGAATTTCCACAGCCAGCTGGCATTTTTCAATCCCCCTAATCGCCTGCATTGCATACAAAATGCTATATACAAAGAGGTGCGTCACTGCCTGGCCATGGACAAGACACCACCTAAACGAACACAAATTTATTCGGTCTATGGCCAACGTGCCAAACAGGATCACATTGGAAAAATCATAATACAAGAAATGTATGATGAAGATGATCGCTGGTGTAATTTTCATCGCGAAGAATCGGAAGTACTAATATTAATTGTTGAGGAAATGATTAATAAAAATATACGTGATATTGCCAAAGAGGTAATGTTAGAAGAAGGTATACCCCTGGATGATGGTGATGCTGATGCTGAAGAAGGTATAGAGATTGAAGAGATTGTTGAAGAAACAAGTGAAATGGAAGAGAACTTGGAAAACACTCTTGAGGAGGAGCAAAGAGTAAGGGAAACCATGATATCCTCAGTGGAAGTAACTGAAAAAGACTCCAGCCAACTAGAACGTCTAAACAATACGAAGTCAATTGATGATATTGGAGCACCAGCATCGCCGGTCTCTGCAACGAATCAACAATGCCATGGCAATGGAGTCGTAAATGATACAAGTAACTCCTTCAAAGTATCCACATCGGCATAGTAGAGATTTGCTGGTCCATTTTTGTATGTATATAATCTAGTGTACTGAAGTAAATTTTAGACATAAATGTATAACTTTTTTAGCAAAACATTTCATTTTATGAAATGTTTAATTTTTATTAAATTAATGGCCTGAATGGAATGGAATATACTGAATTTATCGTTGTTACAGAGATGGCTGAGGAGAGCAGTTCTTAATAAAGTTGAACTCTTGCCTTTCCAATTCAGAGTAACCAAAAGGAATAGTAGTTTTTAAAAGTTCTTTTAACGTTCTGTCTTCTTTGCATAAGCAAAATTACTTATTACATACTACAATTGTTGTATTCTTGAGCCATAATTTCATTCGCAAAACATTAGACGGTATTTATACAAGACCCTTTGATGATCCTCTTAGATTAAAAATTAATTAAAAGACATTCTTACTTGTATCTAAAGGCGTTCGAATATGAAGAGCTATTGTTATTTTTCTTTTTTATTAGGAAATCATTATTAAAATACCTAATCGAGATTTTCTATGTTGCAAAATTATATAATGATCTTCTAAATGAGAAGCATTTTCTAATTCAAAAAAAAAAATGCTGATGGTTTTCAAAACTCAATCATGTTTTTTTAATAGCACTGGACCCTCATTTTTTGTTACCTTTTGATTTCCGTCTTCAGCCATTCTTTAGGTGGTCTTCTATTTTTTAACTCTTTCAGACTATCTTCTAATTCAGATGGTTTTCTATTTTAGAATCTATTTCATATTCTTGTTACAAATAAATATGACCGCATCTTCTTTGATTTCATTCATCGGTCCATTTTCTTCTATTTTAAAAGACTTTCAGATTGTTTTCGTTTTATCTAACGATTATCTAATTCAGATAAACGTCTAATTATGTTCTTTGTTAGAAGGCCTTTTAAAGGTTACAAATAGATTCCATTCGATTGCCATCGTCGATCATTCTCCAAATGGTCTTCTATGTTAGAAGAACTTAAGATCGTCTTCAAAATTTGAAGTCAGTCAGACGGTCTTCAACATTAAAAGACATTCTAATGGGTTTCTGTACGAATACACCATATAATGACCATTTTTACATTTGAAGACCTTCTCTTGGCCTGCTAACGGCAATTGATACTAAAAGACATTACGTTCATATTACAAGATCCTTTTAAATTAAAAAGAGTCCTGAAATCTTTCAATATATTAAAGACACTTTAATGACCTTCTGAATAAGAAAATTTCCTGACTGTAATCTTATAATTGTAGGTCTTCTGAGTTGGGAGTTGTCCCCGTCTTGTTGTAAGAAATAGATCCAATTTGATTTCCATCTTCAAAGTTTATAAACCAATTAACCGTGATAACTGACCTATCACAATAAGTTTAACTTATGTTTTCTCAAGTCAAGTTTATTGTGGCTAGACAATTATCACGGTTAGCCCTTTTAGCAATAGAAATTTTGTGTTATTTCTTCTTCTTTCCCGCTAAAATTCTAATTTCTCCTAACATCCATTTTAAATTCTGTATAAGAGTTAATCCAACACAATCTGAATGCTCACATTTTTGAGAATTCTGAATTAAACACTCTTTATTATTAGACCGGAAGCAATCATGGAATTTTTATATTTTTCAAATAAAAAAAAAACCAATAATGCATTAGTTAATATTTTTATTTTTGTATTGAAAATTATAAGTAATATTAGTTTTTCCTTTTTTTTCCAGGAATGTAGATAATCTCCTTTAGGAGAATACTTACAATCATATCCAAAGAAATTGTTTTTAAAAAATTCCAGCTATACAACGAAAACCGGTAAATTCCATTTCTTTAGGCCAAATATGTTTTTTCCTCAATTTTAGTTTGTCTTATTGTCTTATTATATGCCATTTTTTATTCTAAATAATAGAGTCTTCAATATTATATAATGTTTATGTATAAAATCTAGTATCTACTGAAATTAATTTTTAATATGTACTTAAATTACCTGTTATACTTTTATAAAAATAATTTTGTTTTTCGCTAATATGTATGTATGTACTTATACGTATACGAATCAATCACAAACACTAAGAGACACACACACAAAACACAACAATTTTTATAGCATAAGATAGATTTATTTTACTACTATAAATACACCCTGTACCTTCCTCCCTATCGCCCCAAACCACACAGTCCATTCGTCAATCCAATGTTTCGTACAAAATTTGTTTGTAAGTTTTTCTTTTTGTCGTTTTTCGTTGATTCAATTTTCTTTTTTAGTTTTACAATGTAACAAATAAGTTTAGTAGCCGCCATACAATATAACTTATCGTTTAGGATTTAGCATACAAATACTTTGTCTGCTATTATATAGAATTAGATTGTCATTGTATCTAAAAAGAATTGCAACTACAACAAAAGCTAAAGAAATCTTAATTTGTCTTAGTTTTAAAATGATCTATACATACTACATACAAAAGAAAGAAACAAATTGAAATACAATACAATATAAACAAAATTAGTTGTTTTTATTATAAAATAATAAGTATAAATTAACGGCATTACCTAAAATTAGACGAATCAGTCGACGTTTTTCACCAAACAATTTAAACACATGTATTTAAATGAGAGTTACCCAAATATGTCGGGCGTACGAAATTTCAAAGTTAAACAAATTCAACATTGACAATTGAACTACGTAATAAAAGCAAATGTCGAACCAAATTGCTCCTCTTTTCGAATAAACATCATAGATTCGGAACTAATATTTTCCAAAAACATGCGATCTCTAAAAAATATCGGTATTTGCTTGGCTTAATAAGAAAGGTTGCTCAACTTCAAAGAAACTAGAAAGATACAACTCTGTGTTGGAGTCTTATTGTGTCAAATAATATTTTAAATATGCAACAGTAGGCTTTGGTAATTTTTAATTTTTTTAACAAAATCCTTATATTGGGAAAAATAAGGGCACCTAAAGATAAAAATTGTATTTGGGGGGTAGCTTTGTTCTACAGTCTGTAATTGTGCCATGGGTATTTGAGAAAGCAAATGTTTCTACCATTGTACCATGCTACAATAATATCAAGGTAGGGCTATGATACCATATGATTTTAATTTTTTTTATTGCCTTGGCTTAATATGTCAACTTTATTTGTTTACGTATATGTTTTCTTTTCAATAACAAAAAAATTGTTCAGAAAATATTCAAATTCGAGTGTTTTCAAAATGTTTATTTCAATGTATGCATCGACAGAATCTACAGTTTTTGTAGCGAAATAAACCTTTAGAGATATATAGAACATGATTTTGAAAAGAAATTTTGACCTTTCATTTAGTTTTCGCGGTTTTCAATTATTTATTCAAAACAAATGCAACAAGTTGTTTGATTTTTTATTGTTTTGATACTAATTCCGACAAAGTTAGCCGACCTTCTCTCCATGGTACAATGAAGACTTGTACAATGCAATGGACACTGCTGAATTTATTCAGTTGACCAATGACTGGTTCAATGTACATAATTCATCTCCTGGTACAACTGGTTTGCCCGGAAAGGTAAGGAAATTGCTAAAAAAAAAACTAGGGCTTTATCAAATTAATTATTTTTTTACAATAGTTCCTACCATTAGTAGGAACCATTCGGCAATGACCTACAAAATCAAAAAAATGTATTGGAAGACTGACCAAATTAATGTCAACACCTATTATCCTAATAAGAATACATTGGAAGTCTTCCAAAAAGGGAATTCTGGTATCGAACAGCGCCCCAATTATGTTATACGAATACGTACAAAAGTTCAAAATCTAATGTATTTTAACTCGACGACTTAACCAGGATACATTGGAAAACTTTTTTGACGCAATACGAAGTAAAGGTGACCTTAACAACCACCCATAACCACAGGACTTTAAGTTTAAACCACAGGACTCGACGTAAATGAAAATTTCGAATGGATCAGTCTAAATGAATTAATTACTGATAATAATACGAATCCGAAAATGAGGAACGACAATTGACGCAAACACCCGATTTGGCCGAAATCAACGAAATGAATGCTCATGACATTGGCATTGTTCAAGATGACGCTTTAGAATATACACCTAATTCTGTTTTTACATGGTCTTTTTGTACACGGTTTTGATATAACACGGTTTGAAAATTGAATACTTTTAATTTATTTACACGATTTTATTCCATTTAGCACGATTTGAAATTTTATGTACTTAAAATTTTTTGTCAAATTTAATTTTTGCGAAGTATGTTCATATCACAAAAAAGTATTTATGAAAGAAAAAAGTCTGAAACCATCGATAGTATCGATAGTTTGCGAACACTAGCTTAAAGATTTAAGTGAATTCCCCTTTAGCGCGTACAAACACTTTTTACTGGTCAAAGCAAATGTGAATAGCACTACGTGCATACAATAAAATTTACTGGTCACAGCAATTGAAACGTGTTAATATTTTGTGAACTGTTAATGCAATAAGACGTGTTTGGTAAAGAAAAAAAAAACTTCTTGTTTTTCACTAATTTTAATAGGTTTTAGAGATTGTTCCTAATCACCCATTTTTGTATAAGATCAATGTCTTTTTTACACGGTTTTTTTTTACACGGCTTCTTCTGGAACCAATCTACCGTGTAAAAACAGACTTAGGTGTATATCAGGGTATATGATTCGAAAGTTAAATCTGGAAGAATACCAATGTCAGGAGCAATCATTATGAAACCATCTGAGCAGCAATTAGAAACTATTTATAATAAAATTAATGTTATTACTATATCCCATTCAAAAAAAAAAAAATAAATAAATAAATAAATAAATAAAGAACGCCTCGTAAAAGAAAGCCTAGAAGTTAATTAGTTAGAAGTTAATTTACCAAATGCCGGATTCATTTCAGAGTTCGGCATTTAAATAAGCGTCTTAAAGTTCAAAGGCCAAACAAAGAATTATGGGATATAAGAAGCTGTTAAAAATCAATTTATTAGAAGGTAAATGAAAACTGTACATATTCTATAAACAAAAATTGTAATTTTTAAATTCTTCCAAAATAGAACAAAATGAATTATCTTAAAACAAATCATTTTTGATTACAAACACATTTGATACGGCCAAAACGGGTCTCATCCAAACAACGGTTCGAGACCCCAGGTCTATTTGGGTCAAATCCGTTTCAGGACATTTGGAATCGACCTAGAGGGAGCCCCCGATTTGGCTTAGAAAATATAGATCGAGTTCGTAGATGAGCCGTATTGTTCCAATCCTATTGGTACCTACCTCAAAAAAGGTCAATTTCAAAGAAAATAATTTACCAAAAACATATCATCCAATTTTTTAAACTCTGTGCATCCCAATAACCGTATCAGTGCTAGGACGATATCCGTCTACTCCCTCAAGTACCTCCACCACAAAGGGCCAACAATTTGAATTGAAAAAAGAAAAATAGAACAATGCTTGAGAAACATTTATTTTGCACAAACTTTTCTCAAATCTGTCCATTGTTGACCAATTTGTTTTGATTTTTTTTGTCAGCTAACAATTGTTTTCTCTGGCTAAAAGCAAAATCTTGCAAATTTAGTACCCATTTCAGGTAATGATGAACAATAAATCTGGGAATCTGTGGTATATATTATTTCAATCTCATTTCAGACTGGAGGCATTAAAAAAGTAGCAGGAAACCAATATATGTGTAGTCTTAGTGGAAGAGATGTAGAATCTCAAATAAAGGAGAAGAAAGCGTATCTTGATACCACATGAGGCAGTGATGAAAAGAAAAAAATGCGTAAAATGATTAAAAATTAACAAATAATATTTTACACTACTACAAAAATAAGCTTAATATAATATTACATTCGTATGCTTATTCTACAATTACAAGTATAAGCTTATAAATAAGGGTTCAATTTCGATTATTCTATACTTGTTACACAAACCTATTTCAATGTTTTCTCAAGATTTAGGCTCTTGTTCACAAGTTTATTGTAATAATATTCCCAAGCTATTTTGGTATGTTGGGCTAAGATAAACACCTAATTCGCTCTTTTAGAAACAACAGAAATTTCACATTTAAAATTTTTCATTTTATTTAGTATGGGAAAAATCAAAATACCGAATATCGGGAGGTACCGTTATATGGGGGCTATACCAAAACGTGGACCTACATGACCCATTTTCAATACCAAAAGTCCTGCAAACATAATATACATTTGAGTAAAGTTTTATCGACCTACTTCATTTCGTTCGGAAGCTACAGTAATCTCCACAGATGGACGGACATCGCAAAATCGATATAGAACTTTATACTGATCAAGAATATATATACTTTGTGGGGTCTAAAATGTATATTTCGAGGTGTTACAAACGGAATGACAAACTTAATATACCCTCCATACTATGGTGGAGGGTATAACAATTATGAAATTACAATTATATATTGTAAGTCAAATTGAAAAAATCTCATGCGATCTCATGACAAAAAAAATGACAAAAAATATTATAGAAAAATATTCATATTTTCATTAGCATCTTTTATGCGAGGTTTCTAGGTTTTATTCTGTTCTTGAGTTATGAGCGGTCTAATATCCCCTTCTTTGATATATGAGCATCAATTCAATTCTGACCGTTACAGGAGTTACCATTTTGTGTGATTGTGTTTTCGCGGGAATTAAGAACATTCGAGGTTTAAGGAAAATTTTCGTATTTTCCATTTCAACTCATATTTTGCGATCATCTCCAAAAACCATGCTCCATGCTAAATTTCGTAAAGATGGAGCCACAATTGCAACCTGTTGTGTGATTATAAATTAAAACGCACAGACGAATGAAAGGACACACATAGCTAAATCAACTCAGCTCGGCGAGATAAGAAGATCCCTATACAATATTCCATGTCTTAGATCAATATTTCGAAGTGTTATATAATTTTTAGACCAATTAAAGTTATAATACCCCCAACATATGGTATTCTAGGGTATAACTATTTATATAGAGGACACTACCTACGACTTCGTGTCGAAAATCCATTAAATTTTCAATGTAAACGAAAATCTAAATAAAACCCGTAAAATATGGACCAATGGCTACTAAACGGAAACTTTTAATGAATGTTTTCAATGTTAAATTTTATTTATTTATTTATTTATTTATTTATTTATTTTTTTTTTTTTGTTTGTCGCGAGCTCACAAACGTGACTTCTTTTAAGAAAGGAACCATCAAATATTTTATGATTAATGTTATCTTAAAAGAAGTCACGTTTGTGAGTCAGTAGCATGGTAGAATTAAGAAGGTAAAGTCATGTAATCATATGTTTACAATTGTTTCAAATTTATACATTTCAAAATCTATATTCATAAATCAGAGGTGGGAACTGTTTCTTATGCCTTTAAATTTGACAAGGTAAATTACAGAAAATGCAGATTTGGGAATGCTAATTTGAAATTGAACAATTGTCAATAGCAACCAAACATATATTTTGCAAAGAATAATATCTTAGAGACTACCAAAAATATTTTTAATTTTTTCCTAATATTTCTTTTTTTCAAGCACTATCGGAGTCCCCTAACATTTTTTAATGATTTTTTTTCTATTCGATAATCAACAGGAAACTAAAAAGATTTTTCGAATTTATTTCCTAAAACGTTTTTATGTATTTTTTCGAAGAGTATCACAGGGTCCCAAACCTAAATTTGTTAAAGAACTTTTTTCAGTAGCTAATAAGTATATTTTTTATTATTTATTTTTACAATTTTCGACAAATATCAGATATTTTTATTAATTTTCAAGGAGAATTTAAAATTTATTTTTTTTAATAATAGCCTCTAAATTTGTATTTTAACTTTTTTAAATTATTATTAGTTCTTTTTATTTTTTCCTAGGACTATTAGCAGCCCCAAAACGTGATTTAAAAAGAAATATACAAAAAAAAATAAAGATCTTTTGTTTTATTATTTTATAAATATTTTTTTCCGGATATTAAGTAAATTTTAAAAGCAAAATTAACGTTCAATGGATTAAAAACGTCGTTTAAATACAATTTCGAGGGCATTTTTTTGTGTTCCGAAAATGTTATTGGTGATAATGCTCTTTAATTGAATTTTTATTCTAACATATGTCTGCTGTGAGCAGCTACTCTACGTATTTTTTCACATAAACCACTTTTTGTTCCCTTCTCTATGCATTCAAACATGCAACAAATATTCATTCGAAATTTTATATTATAACAGAAAAAGTCCCGAGTCAATTGATGTAATTTCATTTATCGCCCCCGCCCAAATCTTATGTCACATCTGGTAACACCTCATACATTTATCTGTCATGCTATACAAAATAGAGAGTGGCAAAACATATGACATGCTATAAACAAACAAAATACAACTAGCACAGCCGAAGTATTTTATTTCTTTTGCTCCAAAAAAGAAAATTATTGCACATAGCCTTATAAACATCGTTAAAATAAAATATTTAAATCTAAAGGTATTGTGGGAAGTCGAAAAAATGAAAGTCGAATGTGAAATGCCGAGCAAACAAACCCTGCAACAGACTGCTGCAGTGTCTGCCATCAGACCAGGAGGCGGTGGTGGTGTCGTATGGTCACGCGAAAAAGTAAATCAACTGATCGATTTGTACAAAAAGAATGAATGTCTTTGGAATCACTGGCACGAGTCCTATAAGAGCAAGGATAAACGTAATCGGGCCATTGAAGACATTTGTTCGACTTTGAACATTAGTAAATTTGATTTTGGCAAGAAGATTCATAATCTACGCAATCAATTCAATACGGAAATGAAGAAACTGGAACAACGCATGGAAGAGGCTGGAGCTGAGGGTAGAGATGCAAGTATTGGCTGCAAATGGAGTCATTTCGAGGCGTTAATGTTTTTGCGTAATGTAATTGAACCACGGCCAGGTGGCTATCAGAGCAGCTGTAACTATCAGACACCAAAGGTAAGTGAGCAGCTAAGTCATGAAATATAACCAACTAAATTGAATACATTTGTTTCTGATTATAGAAAATGCGTTTACGATTTGACTACAACAGTGCCGAAGAGGATGTACATGTTACAGTAATACCGCAAAATAATAGTAGTAGCTCTACAACTTCCAATCAATATAGCAATGATGATACGTCCCAGTTACAGTATGAAGACAATCATGGAGAGACATCAACTGAAGATTTTCAAAATTTTGAAAACGAGTTGAACGAAGTTGGAACCAATGGTGAGGGTGGTGCTGCTGTTCAATCGACACTTGTGTCTGAAGAGACAATAGATCAAAAATATTTGCCCACCTTACAACAGCAGCATCAGATGCAAAAGCAACATTTTATCTCAACACCCCGCACATATTTACAACAAAAACCAAAACAACAACATGCTGCCCCCAGTCATAATTATTCCACCTTAACAACAAATAACTCTGCAAGTGAAACTAATCATGCCGGCAATGTTATACATCTCAATCATGAAAATGCTGCTTCCATAATTGAATTGAATTCCAGTAATATATCATCTGCAGTGCTCCACAGCAACAGCAACAACAATGTGACAACTTCCTCTCCATCAGCAACAATGGTTAACAATAATCCAGTTATTGCGTCTTCCTCCAATACAAATCATACAACCGTAACCACATCCACACCAGTTGCCCGTGATCAATGGGATGCTTTTGGAGAATTGGTTGCAACGGAGTTTCGTAATTTGAATTCAGATTTATCTCGTAAAAAACTTAAACGTAAAATTATGCAAGCAATGTTGGAGATTGGTGAAGAAGATGACGGTCTATAGTTTATTGGTATTTAAGATTCAACAAAAGGCATTTGTTTATAAAGTTACGTAGTTTTGAAATAAACAAAAAACAATATGTAAATTTAATTATAAAACCAGGAAAAAAGCAGCTAAATTCGTCCGGACCGAACATTCAATACCCTCCACCATTAGGAAGGATCTTGAACATTTTCAAATAATTTCGAAAAATTGCCCTTAAATGGGGGTGGCTATTCGAAGACGTAGACATTTATATGCAATTTTCCGTCACTGATTATAGTACCCATAACGAACTGCAAATATTGAAAGAATTCCGCTGAATAAAGTCGCTAAAATCATCAAAATACCGAATATTGGGAGGCACCGTTGTATGGAGGCTATACGAAACCGTTGACCGACAAGGCCCATTGCAATAGGTACCATAATTATCATGAAAATACCATAATTAAAGCATACTTTAAGGCGAGAAAAATACCATGATATATATTTCAGATATTCTCACGTTACAGACATTGCCAATTGGAAAAGGGCAGAACATTTACAGAAATATGTACTGAGATTGTAAGAATTTGATTGCAACCAGATTTTTTGCGAGGAGATATGCAACCAAATTATGATTTCAAATAATTTTTTGACCTTTGATTTGTTTTAAAGATGTTCAGTTACACAGGAGTCATCAGTTGATTCACTCGGAGATCTTTGGTCCAATGTGTTCAACTAGGAATTGTACATTGAGATAGAGAAATAATCTAAAGGTAGTAAAGAACTCTTTGTAGAAGTACGTTGGTTTGCCTAAACATGCCTTAAGCATATAAATTATGATAGCACCAGAGTCGGAGAAGAATATGAGAATTTATATTTCCCACCTACCAAATAGCTTTTGTATCATGTTAAATAGCATTGTATTTGCTCAATTGTCACTACCACTTGTTCATTCTCACATGGTCAACAGTAGTCATGGCCACTGTTGTCCCATCTTGAGGTCAGATATTTGATCCTGCAGTGACCAGACTCTATGCTTGTGGTGATATGAATTACTAAATGACAGAAGGGTCAGAAGTCAAAGTACTGGGAACCATCCAAGCTAACCTACTTGCCATTTCATTCTCCATTGTATTGCTATGGACTTGAACCCAACAGAGCTCAATGATTTCATCTATTTCAAACAATGGCACTTACCTTGATTTCAAAGGGTCGCATGACTACCGACTAATACAGTCATAAGTCTTGTTATGTTATATCGAGTTATCTGAGCTGATGCTTATAAGAGTTTGTATCTTTGTTTAAAAACTTGCAAAGAAAGTTTCGATCCATTAGGAACATAAACATTTAGATTATAGCAAAATGGTTCACAAACCTGTCACAAGAAATTTTTCCTGCCGGTAAATGGGGTTGCTATCTATAAGGGAAACCTACTATTATTCAAACTAATATTAGATATATCAACGGTCCTAATTAAGAGCTAAAACGATTTATTTATTAAATTTTTTAAAAATATCTCAACATAACAATGTTCCAAATATCATGCTAGAAAAATGACTTATTATAATAAAGCATGTAATACACTGATTTGCAACAAGTATTTTTTGCCATTTATATAAAACTGAGTACTGAAAAATTCACGTCATAACTGAATCGAAAATATTTCGATGTCCACTAATTTTGATTAATTTATCCATCACCATATATTTGTAAAAAAAACTGAGACAAGCACTTCTAATCACGAGTCAAAATGCAACCCAACAAAGAACACCGGGTACCCCAAGCCATATGACACAATACACCGGCAGCTATTATTATTGTTGTTGTTACTTCCAGTACAATGTAAACAAGGAACACATATTGCACCCACCATAATTAACAAACACAATCACTGTAATTTATTTTTTAAATTATTACAACATTGTTGTTGTATCATTTAATGAAGAATGTTTTTTACAAAAAAATCTGCTTACTAAGGTGCTACTTGTTGTTGTTATCATTCACGTTGGAAATAATCCAGCATTTTAAAAACAAATACAGCTTCCCAGATGAATTTCTTAATATTTATACACCTCAGTTATTCACACTCCTCCCAGTTCCAATGGACAAACATTGTCTGTCCGTCATCACTTGGCATACACAAAACAACAACTATAGAATAATTTTGCAGGGTGGGGGGTCAAGCATAGCGAATTTACTTGACTTCCTTAACTTGCAAGCCTGGGGGAAGGGATTGCTTGATTTTCTCGGCCTTCTCTTTGTCTTGAACGACCAAGGTGTACAAGAAACGGGAGCAACGAATCTTGAATTTGGTGTTGCTGGGGTTCTTCTTTATTTTGACGGCACGAGCATCGGCACGACGGGCCTTGTTCAGGAAATCCTTAACTTCTTTGATTTCGCGGGGCATCTGTAAATTACCAAGAGGAGAGCAGCACATTAGTCATCGGGGGACATTTTGGTCGGTATTTTAATCCAAAACTTACATTGCAAAATTATTTTTGTAAAAAATTACGAGAAAACCAACCAATATTGATGTTTTCCACGTTTCGAAAGAAAGAGAAAAGGAAACACGAAGTTGGTTGCAGTTGACATTCAAGGCATTGCCATATGGAAATTTTAATAATTTCGAACATTCGAGGTTATTTGCAGCGCAACGTAATAACGTGTCATTTTACGTAGGCAGAATTTAGTTATTTTTGACAAAAAAAATATTTTTTTTAAATTTGATTTAATGTTTGTTTTATTATGTATGTAGATATTTATACACCTCAGTTAGATCCCATATGAGTAAGTTTCGTTGTCCAAACTAGAGTTAAGTAATCTCAATTCCTCAAAATTTAATATGAAAATAAATTTGTCTGTCAAATGTTTTATGGTTCAATTTATTTATTTATTTTTATATTCTTCTATGGAATAAGTTCAAAATAAAAATATCAATTTAGTAACGTAGATGTGCAGATTATATCAAAGTTTAAATTGTAATTTTCTTATCAAATGAAGGCGCAAATTAAAGGTGCTAATTTAATGTAGTTCAATTTAAAAAATTTATGCTATTTTTCAGGGACTGTAGATATCCTGCTCATTACACAATTTTTATCAATATAAGCTTGAAAAGATTTGCAAGTTTTATTGAACGGTAACAAAGGTGTTTTTTATGAATTTAACAATGCGTTTAGATAATATCTGTCATGCCATTGTGCAAACATAGAAGGTCGCACTCCTGATACAATACCTACGGTTAATTAAATGTGTATAATGATACTCTGAAGCTAGCAAATGCCGGCTTAACTCTAGTTTAGTAAAAACTATTCTATTTTTTCGAAATTTGTTCCAGAGGTAGTTCTTTTACCCTGATTCCGGGAAACTATTTTTTTCTTGGGGGATGGACACGGGACTCCAGATTTTTGACCCGAATGTCCGGGTTCAAGACCCCGACTATTTTTTATAAAACATCCAAAAAGTCGAAAGGGGGCCCATTTTGGGGGTCAACCAAATTGGAAAGTTATTAGCACAAATTGTAGCATTTTGGAAAGGTAAGAGTGTCAGCAATAATTTGGCGTCAGTTTGGTTGACCCCATAATGGGCCCTTTTTCGACATTTTGGGGTTTTTATAAAAAATCCGGGTCTAAAAAATCAATAATTTGACTATAACTTCGGAACCGCTTAAAAATTGCCCCATTAATCGTTGGATATGTATTTTCATAAGCTTTTAAATGATACCTATATTCTCTATATAGGGTAAGTGGATCCGAATCTTTAACCCAGATTTTCGGGTCAAAAATCGGGGGTCTCGGGTCCGTCCCTCAAGAAAAAATAGTTTCCGGGAATCAGGGTAAAATAACTACCTCTGGAAAAAAAATTGGAAAAAATCGAAGAGTTTTTACTAATGATTCCTTTTCAGAGTAAGTAGAGGTAAATAAGTGGAACGTCATTGTTGTTTTCACAATATCGTTATCCTAATACGATTACAATTATTTTTCATCACCAAAATCTATAAATATGAATTAGACAATTTTCAAAATTATTTTATTTTTTATTCAAAACAAAACATACAAAACCTGAATACATGTTTAACATTACAAGTCTGCAAAAAGAAAAATAGTATTCAGGTGATTGAAAACGTGCGATTCTCTGTTACATAAATTGTCAATTTAATTTGATTGTTTGCACGTTATTAAGTGTGTGTGTAGTTTATATCGCCAAAAACCAAGGATATTTTAAATAAATAAATAAAATTTAAATTAAATAAAATGTTAAATTATTTTTCACATTAAAGTACTCAATATAGGTCCCATTAAAAAATTCACATTTAATTTCTAAAACAATATACATATTTACATAACACAAAATGAACTACTTAAATATTCTTAAAATATATACAATAATTCGACCAAAAAAGTCTGTACTTGATCTAAATATAAATTTTATTCTCTTCACGTTTGTTTGAGTTTCTTTAAGTTGGAAAGTTTGAACGGCATTGATGTCTTCAGCGTAAAATGGCTGCTCATAAGAAGTTTTTGTATCCGCTGCATCTCCGCTTTGAATTTCTATTTTAGCATCTTTTGCGGCAAATCCACCTTGAAATTGGAATGAAAACGCCGACATCGTTTGCAACTCTTCAAATTCTATGTGTATGTATTGTGGTGAACCCTAAATTAGGGGGAAAACAAATGTAAATTAGCAAATGTTACTGTTTTCTGTAAAACGTTAGTTCTAGCTTAAAATTTCAAAAAAAAAATGGTACATGGACCACCAATATCTTACTTCATTCGAACTCCATGCTGTATCATCTTGTTCATCGTACAGAAATTGTTTGCCATGTTGTTTCGTATCTTTATTCAATACAGAACTGACACTAAAACAAAAGTATACAAATGCATATTAAATTGGTGAGAAATTTGTAGAAATATACCTAATTTACCTGCATTTAAACTTTTGTGTTGTTAATAGATTTTCCATGATGTTGATGTCTCAATTCTAATATTCACAAAGAAGAGCATATGAACTAGTTTATTATTGTGTGTCGCTGGGTTAAGGGGTTCACACGGTTAGTTGTTTTGTTTTTTACGATAGCATTACCAACATCAAAATATTACAGCTTTTAACCCTTTTGTAAAAATTGATCTAGGCATAGTGGTCATGGAATATTGGTTTTTCTCCACAAAATTTAATCCAAGATGCACTACACTCATTCGTAAACAACAGAGTATCCCGAGTCATTGCTTTCGTTTATTTTTTATCGAGTATTCCTTTGTGGCCTTCATATTCGTTTCGTTGGAACGTTTTTATTTTTGTTTCCAACGCTCTCATAATTCGCTCTTCATTCAGAGCACGAAGCCGATCGGCTAGCAGTCGGCTCGCAGCCGCCGCCGGCTTTTTTTATGTGATCTGAGCAGCTCTCATCGGCTCAAATGTCTTTTAATCTTATCGATTAATAAACATATAAAAATGCACATTATTGGACGATAATTTACATTGCGCACTCGTCTTCGAAGAAGAAGCAAATATATGTAGGCTATTTATATTAATTATACCCTACACCACATAGTGGTAAGGGTATTATGTCTTTGTGGATTTGTTTTTTTATTACAAAACCTTTGGCAATCTTTTGTAACTTACGAATTTTCATGGAGTGGCAACCACATTGTTTGCCAAAAATTCGTTGTGGTTTTGCTTGTTTAAGGAAAAGAATGCAAAATGTGTCAAAGGAATATAAAAAATTATTTTTCCGCTGACCAAAAGGGTCAAACAGTTTTGACTAAATCAGAATCCGATTCAGACGAATCTGTTGATACTGAAATCAATATTTCTCTATATGTAGATGTATCTCAATATGAAGATCTTTTTAAAAAGAAAAATGAATTTAAAAGTTTGGAAAAGGTTGTTGTAAATGAAGGTGGTATATCAATATGTTGGAAATATTTTGATGATTTCTATTTTAAAAAGAGGCATATACTTCAAAAACATAAATTTTGCAAATTGTGTTTGGATGAAAAGACCGATTTAAAACGGTAAGAATTTCTAATTTTTTCCATTCGCATGTATGTAATTGTTTATGATTTTAGTTTTGGAAAATCAACATCAACCACAATTTATATGAACTATCTACGGACTGTACCTAACTTGGACGTGAAATCTTTAAATAACCAAAAATGACACAAAATGCATTGAAATCCTCATCAAGTTGTAACAACAAAATGCTCGCCGGGTCGCCGAAATGTGCTGTTGCGATTTGCAACCGTTTAAAATTGTTGAAAGGCCAGGATTTAAGAAATTGATATCTTTCTTAAACCCAAAGGCTATATTCCCCACAGATAGGACAATAGCTACGACGGCTTTAAACGATGTTTATAACATATATTTGGCCCACGTAAAAACAATCCTTGAAGAGTCGCCCAAAAAATTTTACCCTTGTATTAGATGTGTGGTCAAATAAACATAAGCACTTGTCTTACATAAACAAAAAAGTGCGTTTCTGCCAAAATTTTCAAATGAAAATTGTAACGCTCAAGACAGAGATCTTTCCACGATCTCACACTGGAACAGTAGTTGTAGAAAAAATTGAAGAATCTAACCTGTTGGAAAAAAAACATATGTGCTGTATCAAATATTCAAAATATGGAGGAACAAAGCGATTTAGTAAAAATATTTACAGAGGTTGAAATAATTTTGGAGAGTTTGGATGGTTGCGAACAATTTCCACATGGAGATGACTATTTTACTGAACAGTTTGAAGCAACTTTAAACGTCAAGCAACACACCTCTTTGGAAAATTCCGTTACAACACGTTGGAACTCTCTGCTTGCAATGATCAAAGCTATACCAATAATATATCCACTATAAATGTAGCATTAGTTAAAGCTAAAAAGAATCTGTTAGTGATTGGGACGATGTAAAAGCAAATTATAACGGAATTTGGCACGTTTTTAAAAATTTTTGAGGACGCCATTTATTTTCAGGAATGCATTATGTCCTTATTGAAGAAAGAAGAAAAAAATCATCTTTTGAACTGACAATAAATTTATGCAATTTCGCTCTGCAAAACTTTACGAAACGATTTAAAGTATATAGAATGATTATGGATTGATTATGGCGCTTATGGACCCATGCCAAAAACTGACCTGTTTTAGATAAATATATACTACAGATACCCAAACAATCGCCAAACTCCTTGGAACTTGTGCATGATATTCTGTCTCCAATTTCCAAGGAGAGCTTGATTACGGAAGAAATTGAAAAATTAAAGGAAATCGATGACACATTACTAAATGAGCCATCAACGAGCACTAAACCAAATGCAAAAAAAAACAGGTATTATGTTTTAATGAATGTAAAGGTAAACTTAACTGACGTATATTTTACTTGCAGAAAATATCAGCTAGTCGCCAAAGAATGTTGGAATTTATGGGACCATCGCATTCTAATGTACAAAATAATGTAGAGTTAGAAATAAGAAAATATTTGGAAACGAAAGTCGAGCCGGTTGAGGCTCTAGATTGGTGGCGACAGAACAAACAAGTACGTTAAAGATTCACATTTTAAACTTGTTTGAAGCATGCTACGTTTTGACCATTTACTTTTTATAGATTTTTCCAAATGTTGCTACTGTAGCAAATATGTGCTTTGGAATTCCAGCCATCTTCTGAGCAAGCATTTTCATATGCCGGGAATTGTGTAAATGCAATGAGAAGCAGCCTGCACCCGACAACACTAAAGAAACAATTGTTTCTTCACGATAACAAGGCGGTCGTCGAACCATTTTTGTCGAATTAAAGTATTTTTATTATATTTTTTGAAGTGCTATAAGCAACAAATGTGCATATAAACTTATATTTTCATTTTTATTTTAAATCAAATGAATTGACAGTTATGAAATCAAACGAAATCTTTTTTCACGTTAAAGTGCTCGGCTTTAGCCGACTTTTAGCTGCCGCCGGCCGTATATTGCTTTAGCCGCTGCTGCCGATTTTCTTTCGACTGCAGCATGGTAGAAAAATACAGGTAACAGCAAGTGTTGTTGTACAACAATATTAACAACAACCACATACAAAAGTGTCAGAGTTATATGTCTAAAAATGTAAACAAAATAATTAATTTTCAACAAATTATTGTAATTTCAAAAATATACATTTTTGGAATTTGGATTATTAAATTGAAAATGCAGAAGAATACTTCTTAAAATATGTAAAATTAATTCTTTCACATCATTCCCCTGAATGTATAGTTGTTAGCTGTACGTCCAAATCTCTTAACACATCAAGCAATCGCTAGAAAATGGTGGAAAAGGCAACATCCCTTCCAAGTTGAAACCAACCAGCATACATACATAAAGTATTCTACATTTTGCAATTTTAGAAACATGAAATATACGAATTTATTATCTAACGTGGTCTCGCTGTTCCCCAACCCCCAAAAAGTTTCCGAACCATCACCATGAGCCTTTTGTTAAGTTCAACGTCGATTTTTTCTTTTATTAGGCAAAAAATATGTTCACATTGTCCTGCAGTGAAATCTCATATCAAAAAGGGTATACCTATTGTATATCAAGAAATGGAATTAAATCACAAAACGTCATATCGAGTTTAACACTATTATTACTATAGAGTCAAATCATCTGGGACTTGCTGCTACCTGTAATAATTATACCATGCCACTGCAGTCGACTTTTAGCCGCCGCCGACTTTTTTGTGCTTAGCCGCCGAGAATTTTACATCGGCTTCGCCCTCTGTCTTTATTGTAGAAAAGTTAAAGTGAATTTTGTTTTTTTCTTGATAAGTTAAGTATAAAACAATTATGATAAAAGCTATTTTAGTTTTTAACAATCATGGCAAACCGCGCCTCTCCAAATTTTATCAATATTTTGTAAGTTTTATCATTGATTTGTGCAAACCAATATTTACATTAGATTTTTAACATTGAACATCCCCCTCGCAGAATGAAGATATGCAGCAGCAAATAATCAAGGAAACATTCCAACTGGTATCAAAGCGAGATGATAATGTGTGCAATTTTTTGGAAGGTGGCAGGTTGGTGTCCAATTAGATTGTTGTTATTGTACATCTAATAACTTTACGTTTTGGTTTCTATATTTTCAGCTTGATTGGTGGTTCGGATTATAAGCTGATCTATCGCCATTATGCCACGCTGTACTTCGTGTTTTGTGTTGATTCCTCAGAAAGTGAACTGGGGATATTAGATCTCATTCAGGTGTTTGTTGAAACACTTGACAAATGTTTCGAGAATGTGTGTGAGTTGGACCTAATTTTTCACGCCGATGCCGTACATCATATCCTGGCCGAATTGGTCATGGGCGGTATGGTTCTACAGACAAATATGTCCGACATAATGGCTCGGATTGAGGAACAGAATAAGTTAGTTAAACAGGAGGCTGGCATATCAGCGGCGCCCGCTCGTGCCGTTAGTGCGGTTAAAAGTATGAACATTCCCCAGCAAATCAAAGATATTAAACTGCCCGATTTGCCTCAAGCCATTAAAGACTTAAAATTCTGACCAGGGCAAACCACAAACGTCAATAACAGTTCCACATTTGTTGATAGTTTTGTTTTGCAACGTCTCACTTCACCGACATCCAACATAAACCCAACCACAGCGCTAAGTTCTCTGGCTGCGTATGCGTTAAACCCAAACAACAACAATGGTAACAACAGCAGTACAAATAATAATTCATTAAAGTTTGCCAATAAGAATCTTTATACATCTTCAGTAACGCAATTTCTCAATCAATCCATCTATGAGCCCATTGAAGATGACGACTTCATTAGTTCATTTCCTTCGGCCGACGCAATTGCTTCCGCCTTCAACTATGACTACTATCAATCACAGTCATCCATGGATCCCGAAAATTGCAACGCCTTTGAGTCGAGTAATCGCAGCGGTGCCCCCAAACATTTGGCCGATGTTGCCGAAGCTCATGAGCAAAGTTTGAAATTGTTTCGTGAATCTTTCGATTTGTCTGCTACATCTAGGGAGCAACAAAACATAGGTGAGAGTCATGATCCCAAAAAGAAACATAAGAAATCAAAAAAGGCCAAATAAATAATTCGAATTTTAGTTAGTTTTTTGTATATATAAATAAAGAAGATTGTGTATTTGGAATTGGAAATTTCCAGTCGGTGAGAGAGAATCTTAGGCAAAAGTATAGTATATGCAACAGCTCGCAGTATACAATATCTGCTTAGCAAAATAACAAG